GAGAGAGAGAGAGAGAGAGAGAGAGAGAGAGAGAGAGAGAGAGAGAGAGAGAGAGAGAGACGATAACTGTCCGACCTCGTGGCTCGCGCCATGCTACTTCCATCGATAGGATGAGCAACATCCAATGAATCTTCAGCTAGAACATGGAAACATACACTACCTGGTTGAATTTTCGTTACGGAATGGTGCATCACTCTCAGTCCCGCGGCCACGAAACACAGCATCGGCATCACGCGCGGCCGGCCGTGATCCACCCTCCGCAGCCAGAATGCGCCGCACCGCCGCGACGGGTACCCCCATGACGCCGACCCTCCGATACATTACGGAATGGTGCATCACGCGCGGTCCCACCACGGCACCCTTTGCCCTCAGTCCCAGTCAGGCCGTCGGCCTCCGAACAGATTTGCGCCTCCCAAAAATTCTCGTCCGCGATCCCGCGGCACCCTTCACCCTCAGTCCCGTTCGGACCGTCGGCCTCCATACAGATTTCCGCTGGGCCCAGCACAGGGCGTTACGGTGGGCCCGTTGCAGTTTTTATAAGGTATAGAGAAAAAAAAGAATTGATCAAAAGGCGTTTTCGAATTTCAAGAAAATTTCGAAAAATAAAAAGGGGAATTTTAATTATTTTATGGACTAAGATATTCGAGAAAAATAATTAATTAAAATTATTTTTGAATTTTGGGAAAAAAATATTGAAAAAGAATTTAATTAATTCCAATGTATTTCAAAATTTTTGAAAAAGAATGAATTAAAAGTAGTTTCGAATTTTAAAGAAATGTCGAAAAAGAATTTAATTAATTCCTAGGGTACCAGCCGGGCCGCCCGGGTCCCTGGTGGCCAGCCCATGCAAGGACCAAGGAAGGTCCCAGCAAGAAAAACAAAATTCCAAAAAAAATCCAAAGAAAAAAAAAAACTATTGCAATGAGCCCAGACGTAATGATACTCGTCAACATTACCAGCCCATATGATTATCAACCTGCTGATGAATGACAAACAATCGCAAATGTGTGAAGAGAGAATGAGGTGGAAAACATACACCGACGAAGAGGAAAAGGGGAGAATAGACAAAGGAGAGAGAAGAAGACAACAGCCGACTTCGGCTTCGGGTCCGTCCTCCTGCTCGCCACCTCATCAATCAATAGACTAAATACAATGTCTGAAGTTCTTTCTAAATGTGCCATGTGGCACGTCAATCTGTCTACATCAGCGAACTGGAGAGTATCGTCATCAACCAGGTACGTATCCTCGTTAACCACAGTCTTGATCCCCTTCCGAAGTGACGAAGAATCAGAACAGCCTCTTCAATCATGTAGCCCGCCACGTCATCAACATATACAGGTGGCAGCGGCCACGTCAGC